AGAGTTACTGTCCAGTCATTAAATGCTTATAATCCATTCCTGAGAGCTATTATCCCAGAAACTATACTTGTTTTCCCGTTGACAGCAGGTGGCTTTCATCTTTGACCTGGATTTTTGTGCTTGTTTTTATCTTTTTATTCCTTGAGAGGCCACGCACAGCAGCTAGATGGGTAGATGAGAGCAATTAAAGATTCTTTTGTTCAGAGGATTGCAATTTCCATTTGTCAGGTTGAAAAAAATGCACAGGTACAGTATAAACCTCTTTTTAGCACATTTGGAGCTAACAGAATAGAGTTTTTTCATGGTTTGTCTTAAATATGGTGATAATTGCAAACAGAAAGAGGGACGGTGTTTGAAAATGAGCCATTTCTTGTCACTTTTATCTAATAATGTGTTGAAAATAGAATGTGATTGCTCGTTTTTATGATGAAGTAGTAATATGTACAATCGTTAAAGGGATGTTATGGAGCAAATATTTGATATTATCTGTTTATTCACTTAGCAAAATAATTTGAATAACTGCTTTGTGCTAGGGGTAAAGCAGTAAACCAAACATGGTCCCTGGTATTATATTCATGATAGTTGATATACTTCTTTATGCATGTTGAATCAACACTATTTTTTAGTATTTATTACTGACTCAAAATATACAAATATAAGCGATGAAAATTTTATAAATACTATACATATGTAAGAAGATGCCTTAAAATAGACTTTAGAGTTCTGCTTAGTACAACTAGGGCTCTGCTAAAATAAAAACATATAGAGGCTAGGTATGATAACTTAAAAAGATATAAATCAAGAGTCAGGAGAAAGATGAGGAGATAAGTTATCTTCTATTTTTAAATTTATTTAAAAATCTCTTTCTTTCTGAATAATGCTAGATAACACATTTTGTCACTGGGATCTTTCTGTACATTAATATAGAATTCATTATTACATTAGGAGGAAGCATCAGTATTAACATCTGGATTTATATTTATTAACTGATCTAAGGATATTAGCAGTAGAAACAGAAGTCATGTCTAGGGCTTCCCTGGTGGCGCAGTGGTTGAGAGTCCACCTGCCGACGCAGGGGACGCGGGTTCGTGCCCCGGTCTGGGAAGATCCCACATGCCGCGGAGCAGCTGGGCCCGTGAGCCATGGCTGCTGAGCCTGTGCGTCCGGAGCCTGTGCTCTGCAACGGGAGAGGCCACAACAGTGAAAGGCCCCCGTACCGGAAAAAAAAAAAAAAAAAAAAGTCATGTCTAGAAAAGTCTGCCTTTGCATTTGCAGACATAGGAAATCATTTAATAGCTAGCTGAAATATTATTTTTATTATTGAGCAATGGTAAATAATAGAGGCACCATATACAAAATATAAATTTAAGAGCAGTTACAGACATGTTTGTTTCTAAAGGGTTATTATATAAAATATATATTCATTTTCTTCACTTCTTTGCTAATTACTGAATCTTTTAGTAATTCTTGTGTACTAAATTACATGCAGACACTTTGGCCTGGTATCAAACCCTTCCTTGATCTTACCCCAGTTTACTTTCGTAACATTTTCCTCTATTTATCCCAGTCTTAGTCTAAACCAGATTTGTCCTGGTTCTCCATACATGTTCTGAATTGTTTCACCAGCTGTTCTTTCCCTCGTCTTTCCAGCATCTAGAATGTTTCCTGAACCAATTTCTGCATGTGTGAATCCACCTGTAATTTTAGACAGTATTAAACCTTGTAGGTCTGTCCTCATTTTCCCAACAAAGAAATTTCAGAGAAGACTCAGTTTCTTGGGCATTTATCTATACTTTTATCTATATTTTTCTAAAGACTTTGGTCAATTTTATTTTGCATTTTTAGCTATTCATTAATTATTAAATATGATCTTAATAAATACCTGACAAGCAGGATGTTAGTGGCATATCTGAAGTAGATTCTGCATAAAAGGAATAAGAGAATGCATTTTTTGCTAAGAATTAAAAACTATTAGAAAACCAACTAGATGTTACTTTGCTTTCTATTATCACCATGTATTAGCAATTTTAAACAGTATCAGTGACAGAGTACTACTGCCAGAAGTCTTTTGTTTATCCAAGCTCTAAACAATTGCTGTGGTTACCATTGTGTTTCTATTATGTATATTTATGTGTACATGTATATGTATAGTCAGTCTTCAACACACATGAACTCAGCTACACATGTTTCAAGGGTAAATTCACATTGATTTGGAGTTATTTAAAACTTGCAACACTGAGACAGTGCAAATTATGAGGTGTGATTATTTTGTTCGTTAAGTGCAGATGTGAGTTCGTGCTAATTATTGACTTTGAATGTATTTAAAATTTTAAATTATTCTTCTTTTTAAATTGTTTGTTATAAACCTAAAGAACAACTCAAGCAAATAATAATTATTACTCATTTATACAGAGCTATTACTTAAAATACTTCTGTTGTTTAGCAGAGAGGGATGTTAAACACCATTCACTCTGGGTGTCACGGTACACCCTTGGTGTGAGGTGTTAAGGCTATAAAGACAGCTATGGTCTCCGTTCTCAATGACCTTGCTTGCCCTCCCTTCTCTCTCCTCCTCCCCATTTCCTTCTTCAAGAAGAGCCTCTATTTATATGACTTTGAATTCTCCTGTCTGGAGTGGTCATGTAGATGCTTTTCTTTAATTTTCATAGGTAAAAGAATCATAGGGAAGCTAGTCCCGAGATATTGAGACCTGAAATTTGACAGCAAACTGTTTATTAACTTTATGGAACACAGACTGCATGAAAGACAAAACTTTTTATAGAATTTAGATTTAAATGGAAATATATTAATGGAAATAGTGGGCTTCATAAGTAATTTTTGAAAGTCAAAATTAAGTACTTAATGTATTTATACCATGAAACATCCTTATTTATTTATCATAAGCATAGCAGATCTAGTTGAGTCAAACAGAAAATCGTATTAATTTAGTGTTCACAGGGACATATTAAATTAAAAATAAGAAAAATATCTCTTTATGGTGAATTATTGAACAGCATAACCCTGTTTATTCTACCTAATTGGTATAAATGCTTGTTTTGCTAAATGTCTAAAGAATATCTTTTTTTCATTTTTCTATTGATGTATAATGGGCATACAACATTAGTTACAGGTGTACATCTTAATGATTTTATATTTGTATATATTGCAAAAGGGTCACCACAGTAAGTCTAGTTAATGTCCATTACCATACACGGCTGCAAATTTATTTTTTTACTCTTTTAGCAACTTTCAAATATGCAATACAATATTATTTACTATAGTCACCATGCTGTATGTTACATCTCCATGACTTATTTATTTTATGTATTTATTTATTTATTTTTTAATTTAATTTAATTTATTTACTTATTTTTATTTATTTATTTTTTTTGCGGTATGCGGGCCTCTCACTGCCGTGACCTCTCCTGTTGCGGAGCACAGGCTCCGGACGCGCAGGCTCAGCGGCCATGGCTCACGGGCCCAGCCGCTCTGCGGCATGTGGGATCTTCCTGGACCGGGGCACGAACCCGTGTCCCCTGCATCGGCAGGCGGACTCTCAACCACTGCGCCACCAGGGAAGCCCTTATTTATTTTTTATACAGCAGGTTCTTATTAGTCATGCATTTTATGCACATCAGTGTATACATGTCAATCCCAATCTCCCAATTCATCCCACCACCACCCCCTGCTGCTTTCCCCCCTTGGTGTCCATACGTTTGTTTCTCTTCATCTGTGTCTCTATTTCTGCCCTGCAAACTGGTTCCTCTGTACCATATTTCTAGGTTCCACATATATGCGTTAATATACGATATTTGTTTTTCTCTTTCTGACTTACTTCACTCTGTATGACAGTCTCTAGATCCATCCACGTCCCTAAAAATGACCCAATTTCGTTCCTTTTTATGGCTGAGTAATATTCCATTGTATATATGTACCACATCTTCTTTATGCATTCGTCTGTCAATGGGCGTTTACGTTGCTTCCATGACCTGGCTATTGTAAATAGTGCTGCAATGAACACTGGGGTGCATGTGCATGACTTATTTATTTTATAACTGGAAGTTTGTACCTTTATTTATTTATTTATTTTTGCGGTACACGGGCCTCTCACTGTTGTGGCCTCTCCCGTTGCGAAGCACGGGCTCCGGTCGCGCAGGCTCAGCAGCCGTGGCTCACGGGCCCAGGCGCTCCGCGGCATGTGGGATCTTCCCAGACGGGCACGAACCCGTGTCCCCTGCATCGGCAGGTGGACTCTCAACCAGTGTGCCACCAGGAAAGTGCATAACATTTTTTTTTCATACAAGTTGCCTGGCCTTTGCTAAACACTTGACAAAAATTTCCCATTTAATAATCAAAATAGCCATATTTTGGGCTTCCCTGGTGGTGCAGTGGTTAAGAGTCCGCCTGCCGATGCAGGGGACATGGGTTCGTGCCCCGATCCGGGAAGATTCCACATGCCGCGGAGCGGCTGGGCCCGTGAGCCACGGCCGCTGAGCTTGTGCGTCCGGAGCCTGTGCTCCATCCACAACGGGAGAGGCCACAACAGTGAGCGGCCCGCGTATCGCAAAAAAAACAAGCAAACTAAACAAAACAAAACAAAATAGCCATATTTCAAGGCATTAATCATATTTTGTCAATGAGAAAACAGAGACTTGAAGAATTAAATAATCTTTTGTAAGTCATAGAGCAAAACTTGGCAGAAATGGGAATCAATTCCAAGCCTGCCTTATTTACTGTTGGCTTGCACGCATCTGCTCATTCAGCAGAGCTATGGTGTTTACATTGCACATCTAACTGTGAGAAAAGCACTTAATTTTGAAGGACAAAACTGTTATTTCCCTCGTTCGAAAATTCATGGACTTAAATATTCAAGGTCTCTGTCTTTGTAAAAGCAATGACATTAATAACACACTGCCCATGATAACCACCAGTTTTAGTTGGTGACAGAATCATGTTGGTAAATCTGTATCTTTATTTTGTTTTCTTTTTTTTTTCCCCAGAATGATGTAGGAGGACAACGCAGCCTGATAAACAAATGGACCACTTTTCTCAAGGCCAGACTGATTTGCTCAATTCCTGGAAGTGATGGGGCAGATACTCATTTTGATGAGCTTCGTAAGTCATGTTTCTTTTTTCTTAAAAAAGTCTTACTAATTAAGTAATTCAGCATTTAATTTATTTTAGCCCCAAATGCCTGATTATAAAGCCCAGGACAGCTCGCAGGAGTGGTGCTTACTAAGTTCCCACACGCAAAGAACTTGGAGGTGCTCTAGGTCTGGGTGTTCATCGTAATGAAAAAGTTCCCCTTTTGTGAGTGTCCTCAAAGTTACGAGGGAAACAAAACTGCAGCAAGAGACAGAAAGATACTAGCTCTGGGACTACAAAGCCCATCCATTCTTCATGTGGTCTTTTATTTGGAAGGAGCCACTGGCTATAGGTAGCAAGAACTTGGGTTCCTTATTCTGTAGACGCCCTCTGCTGGAGAGCCCTGGAGATCTGGTGAACTCTGTCGCTCTGACTTGTTAATAAAAAAGATACTCTGAGAAGCGTTAGATTCTCCTCTTTTGTTTCCCCTTTTTACTCCTCTCAAAGCTAATTCTAGAAGGAATTTTTCAGCTGTAAATAAAGTTAGTACCATTAGCTTTTACTTTTTGAACTTTATTTTTGGTTTCGCCATGCACTGTAAAAATGATGATATCACTGAATGATTTGTGTCAGTATTATATTTACAGTATTAAATTATATATTCAGTATTCATGGATGATTTCTCGTGCTGTATATAAGTATGCTCACCTCTTAAATGATGTTTTAAAGAATATTATTTACATATACTTTAGTATCAGTGTTGCACTAGTAATTACACACAAGGAATGAACTAGTCTAGCTATTTTCATATTATTACCAAATAGGTAATTGAATTACTAACAAGTTGACACAATTACAGGACAACACTTTTTTAACACTGGAGGGTAAAAGTAACCTGTTTTTAGTTTCTGTTCTATATGAAATCACATATTCCTAATTGGAAACAGTCATGGAGATTATCAAGTGAACCATCCCATTCATAGGTGATTGAAGTAAACACCTTCGAGGGTGAATGTTCAATTAAGTGTCACACAGCTAGTGAGAACTTGTCTTTTCCCCTTAATTTCTTATGTCATAGTGTAATGACTTTCACTGTTATCTTAATTTTATATACTGTTTAGAGTCTCAGGAATATTTCATTATTAAAGGAAAAGCAAACATGATACTGAAAAATACAAATGTAGAATCATTATTTTTTTCCCATTAATAGAAGACATTTACTTACTCCCCACAAGAGATGAAAGAAATCCTGTAGTATATGGAGTCTTTACCACAACCAGGTAAGTTAAAAAAAAAAAAAAATGCCTATAATCCTTCTAGAGAACTGTTGTATCTATGTAAGAAAATACTTATATGTTCTTTTTGTGCCTTCCTTTTGTGTGAAAAAACACACATTTAAAAAATTGTACTTTTTCATTTATTATTTCCTAGAAATCTTTTAATATCAGTACATAAAAATGTCTCTGTTCTCTTTACACCAGCAAAGTATCCCCTATATGGATTAACACAATTTATTTAACTAGTCCTCTGTACCTAGGCATTTGCGTCGTTTCCAGTCCTTTGCTAGTACACATAATGCTTCAGTGACTAACCTTGTGCATACACTATTCCCTGTAGGAGCAAGTATATCTGTGAGCTAAATTCCTAGACTACAATTACTGGATACAAGGGCACATACAAATGTTAATCATAATAAATAGGTTGAGCGGCATGACAGAGAAGTAATACCAACAAAATACATGTCTTAGTCATTGTCTAGGCTATAATCATGAGATGACACTCTTATCTTTTAAAATGTCTTCACATGCTCTTATTTGCACTTCCCCATTACTCTGCAAAGATGGAAGTGTGACTGTTATTATTACCATATCATCACTGCTCTACTAACTTAGGCAAAGGAAGTTTGTATTACATGTACTTGTCCAAAGAAGAGTAGCCAATTAGTAGTAATACTGGGACTTCGACTAAAAGTATCTTCCTAATTTCTACGCCTGTATTCTTGTCTTCTTTCTGCATAATACTGTCCTGTACTTGTCACTGAGGCTCTGTGACTTCCATAAAAGTTGTCCTAGCAGTCAGGAAGCTTTCTCAAAGAATATTTGGACCCCCACTTAATCTGATTTAATTTTATTTAATTCATTAACTTACATTTGACTCTGTTCCAAGTGCACTTTTATTCTTGTTACCTACTACTGCCTGTGTTACATTCTTTGAAATACTTTTCACTTTTTCCATAGCGCTGCTATCGGTCGTTATCAATGTATATTGCTATCAGTATTGGAGGAATTGGCAGTATTGGCATTAGTATTAGACAGATGGTCTTACTGCCTCCTTTTGAATAAATTATTAAAATATTTTGTGGGAAAATTATAATTTATTTTCCGAGATATTCCTGTCATTTAGTTCACAATACCTTATGGAAAAAGTCAAATGTACTATTGGTTCAGAATGTATCAAAAACAAAATACCATTTGGTTAATTATAAAATTAGAGTGGAAATATTTAAATATGAGACTAGAGAAGATATTCTAAGAAGCTGCTATTTTGAACTCCATGTTTCTGCTAATTTATATCTGAACTAAAAAGGTGCAGGAAGACCACGTGCCTGTAGTTGACTCAAGTCAAGTATCTCAGCCCTGGTTCTCTTGGCATCTTTCCATTCACAGAATTTTCTTTAAAGTCACCATGTGTTTCACTCACAAGACATAGATGTGTGCCCGAGAAATGTAGCCGCAAGATAGTTCTCTTTTTCTCTTATCGAGTTTTTGCCCACCCAGAGTGTGAAGTTACAAGTCAGCTCTTTGTTCTTGGTGTACTTCGTTATTTTCTTTTTAATGCTGCCCTGAAGACTGAGGTAATGTCAGGATGCAACTCACATCCTTGGTCCAATGAGAAGATGTAATTAATCTGCAATAACACCATGATGCGTCGTTCCTTTAAAGTATCATAGGCAGGTCATATGATTTTTATGGGGCCATCATTTCCCTTCTTAGCAGCTAGTTTTCTCCCAGCTGCCTATTTACCATCAGCTCCTGATGCTTCGCATTAATGTCATTCCAAGAATGATTAATGATTGAGTTACTCCTGTTAGTGAATCCTAAACTCATTTGTGTAGTGCTAAGTCTCTTAGAGTGTAAAGTGTGATCTTGTTTTTAAGAACAGGAATCACTGAAAATTTTAGATTCAGAGAAAATGCCTTTTAATTTCTGGAAATAAACCATGATGAAATATCTGATGCTGCTGCTAGCAATTTTCATCATTAGTTTGCAAAAATTTGTTGAATTCCCATGGAGCTTTGCTGCCTCTTAATTAGATGTGCCCCCTTCCTGTGTAATCATGATTAATTTTAAGCATCAGAAAAGTTATATACATAAACTCAGAAATTCAAAAAGGAGCAAAAAGATTATTTCAGTGTTTTTAAAATTAATAAAAATTATATGAGGAAATCATTAATAGCCAGTATTTATGGACATTCACTCACTTTAAGAAAGATAAATATTTATTGTTTACATATCTAAATATTCCTTTTTTTAAAAAGTAGGTAATATAACTTCTGATTTTATAAGTTCTTTAGAAGGCATTATGCTATAATAACTTCAAATAAAATTCAAGAGCATGTGAATAAATGTAATACTCTTTCCTGCATATTCCCGTCTATCCTCCAATTTTTCCAGGAAATTCCTATTTGTCTGTCAGATGTCAATTGAGATGCTACCTACTCCCTGAAAACTTACCAGACAGCCTTGTATTGGGTACCCATCTGTATGCTTGCTTAGTTTACTATAATTACCTATAATAAAAGTGTTATCAAAACTTATTCAGGATTACTTGGCTGTAAGCTCCTTGAGGACATACACACATTTTGTCTGCCGCACCTGTCAGATAGAATGTCCCGAATAAATGTGTCCACCGCACCTGGTTATAGCATGTGCTCAGTGAATGTCCACTGAATGGACCAGTGAATGACTGAATCACGTTGCTTTCTTTCAGCTCCATCTTCAAAGGCTCTGCTGTGTGTGTGTATAGCATGGCCGACATCAGGGCAGTTTTTAATGGTCCATATGCGCATAAGGAAAGTGCCGATCATCGTTGGGTGCAGTATGATGGAAGAATTCCTTATCCCCGACCTGGTACAGTATGTATCCATACTTAATAATCAAAGTATTTTAAGTTCATATTCTCTTCCTAATCCTATTATAATAAACTATGCTATTCACCACAGCAACATGCACTGTGGTTTTAAAATAACTGTTTACTTACAGTGATGTGTTAGTATGTCTGACCTTCACTGGAACTTAACATTTTTCGTTTGAGTAAGAATTTTAAATACTACAGGAAACAATGGGCTATATTGTAAGGAGCAGACTACTCTGAGAATATAGCGTTTATCCTCAACATGTCTATAGAATCATCAAAATGATTTAGCATCTAGAATGACAAATATTCCAAGTTAGAAGGAAATGCTAATAAGTATTTATCACATACAGCTCTGCATGTAGTTAAGAGTCTTCTAGTCCCCTTCTGCCTTAAAAAGACTACATCTGTTATAATCGTTCATTTAAAAGATCTGTTCTCTTGTTCTGCGTTTATCTTTTCTTTATTATGTTGCACCTTGGAATTATATGCATATTTTAGATGTGGAAAAGACAGAAAACTCTGAGTCCAAAATTCTATTCAAATAGCATAAGTCATGTTTAGAGCAGAAATGAAACAGGTAAGAAATGTGTTTCAGAGTTTCTGCATCTGTTTCGGGAAAACTTTGCGATTTAAAATCTGTATGTGCATTATAAATGGCTTTTGTTTTGTTGATGTGATTAAAACAGTTTGTTATTTAAATATTTTAGAATTAGTTAATTGGCCTAATATAAAGGTAAAATGCCTCTTTTAAAAATTTAGGATTCATTATGAATACTTCTACCAAGAGCTCAAAATAGTCATCAAAATCCCAGAAAAATCATTGATGTAACCCATCTAATTCTGTTGAGTTTTATCTTATGTTTGTTCTTGAAGAGAAAACAGCTGGTAGCCAGGCTTTCTGAATTCTCTTTTCATCTTCCTGTTATGCAACCTGATTAAATTTGGGAACCACACTTTACAGCCATGTCTATTTTCCCTTTCGTAATTCCTCAATATGTTTCAGGGATGTTTCTGAACTGATTATAGGATAATCTCAACTTTGGTGGAAAAAACTTTCTGCAAGTAATATTATGATTTTCAATATTCACTTTTTAATTTTCTTTGAACATCAAAGCTGTACTTGCTTGTTCTTTTTTTAAACAGTAACATAGGGTGTAGTTACTCTTCTAAAGGCTTTTTAAACCTTAATGTAATCTTTATAATGACTCTATAAAGCAAATGCTATTATTATTAATGCCATTTTACAGATGAGCTATCTCAGGCACAGGTAAGTGCAGTAACTTGTCCATGGTCACAAAGCTAGTGAGTGATGCAACTGAGTTTTAAACCCAGATATCTTGTTGGTAGAGTCCAAGCTCTGAGTCCTTGTACTTTGACACTCCATTAAAAACTTTTTATGTTAAATTATATCTATTTTTCCCTTCAATGGAAGATCTTTTACTGAATATACATAGTATATACAATGATTATATGTGTGAAGGTTGTTTGAGTTTTTTGGTTTGTTTTTTTTGTTTGTTTGAGGAGGCTGGTAAAACTTCACAGGGCTCTCTAGCTGGGGAAATTTGACCATACTAGGATTCTGGGATTAAGTGTCAGAGACTATCATACTCTGAGTTGTTTCTACATATGTTTATTCTAAAATATAAAGACTGTGACCATTCAGGCCATTAAAAACAAATCTTTAATTATCTGGATTTACATGAGAAAGAATTTGGGACTGAAATCACCCACATTCATTACAGAAAATTATTTCCCTACCTATATACAGCAGTTGATTCTTATAATGCTAGAAGTTGATTATCAAAATGACCACCTGCCGATACATCCAGATCACATCTGACAGTGTAGACTGGAGATGCTGCAGAGGTGGCTGCTGTCACCACTTCCCTGCTCCTTCCTGAGAGACCTGTGAATGTCATGGAAGCCTAAAGGCAACTCCCACCTTACGTGACTCTGCTCGGAAGCACGTGGGCACTTCTCTGATATGTGACCCCCGAATAGTAAAACATACATGTCAGTGAGGAGGGTTTTCATCAGTAAGGAAAGAAGCACCTCCTTATGTTAAACAGAGCAGCCTTTGCTGTTGGAGTACTCAAAATACAAAGTGTTTACACTGTAGATATTTTCTTGAAGAGTTCAGAATTATCTAGGGAATAAGTTGTATCCAAACTACGAAAAATACTTTTTTTTCTTTTTAATAATTTAGATAAAAGGAAAACTATCATCAGGCATAAGGAAGTGCTGTTTAACAAAATTATTCTTTTATCCTTTCTAAACATCATTATTCTCCTATGCTTTTGTAAATGTGTAAACACATTCGCATCTGAAGCTAAGCTTTGAGAATTATGCCTCGTAACTAACCTTTAATCCATAGCCCATACTCGGGCCACTGTTGGTAACTGAGACAGAAAGACAAAGTCTCTCTTAGGAAGACTCTGTTAGAACACTCTTTGATCAGGTACATTATGTTCTTTTATAGAATTTAGGGAAA